ACTTTCCTACGCTTGTGATAATTATGGCGTGCTGTAAGAAACCGTGCACGTTCAAGCAGGCTGATGATTCTGCACTGCCGGAATTTGTTAATTACTGGCTGTGTGAGAATATGACGCATTCTTAATGTGCAGCTCTCACTGGGCGTGATTGCGACAAGATCGCTGCAATTGCCAAAAAGGACTGTGGCGGCTTGCGTTGGTCGTGCCCAGATTGCATCGACAAGTAAATTGATTTTTCAAGAATGTATAATTCTGTGAGAAATCAATTCTTAAAATTGAATAATGTGGCTAAGCAGCTCTCGAGTAATTTTGACTTGAGTTTCGAGTTGCTTGGCAAATATAAATTCGAATATCAAACCAATCGCCGGTTGGAGCCTCAACTTTTCCAATTGCCCTCTACGGCTGTTCTGACACCTACGCCTTTCTTGTCCCTTCGTAGCAACTTGGATGCATCTCCAATGTTGTCTTTATCACCTTCTCCAAGCGACTGTCCAATTGCCCCTGTTTCAACCCCCGTAGTAGTCCCAGAAGAGCCCGTACCTGATCCCGTCCCAGTTAATGAAACTGCCTCAGCTCCATCAGCTCCTGTTAGAAACAATCATTGTGCCTCTTTAGCTCCTCCAACTCCTGTATTACCTGCAGCCCCATCAGCGCCTACATTAACGGTAGTTGCGCCTCGTAGGCAAGTTTTTGTGTCTCGACTTTCGTCGGACACCACTTCTGAGTCATAGGCAGCCTATATTGCTAGCAAATCTTCTGCTAGCGTGTCAATAACCAAACTAAATTTCTCCATACCTCTTGAAATATCATTCAAAATAAATGTTTCACATGATATGTTCCGAATTATTTGTGATCCCAAAATTTTGGCTTCCACACATGATTGTTAACGAGTTTAAGCCTAACAAGTGAGCGGTTCTAGTCAGGAGCTCCCGACTAGGGGATACCCTGAATCGTCTTCTTCCAACATCAAATGCATATATACATTCTATTTTAGAATCTATATTTCAAGTTTGGGGACTCTAGCTCTTATTATTTACCAAAATTTCCCAAAAAACAGGATATCGATATCGATTTTTATCGATTGCTTGGAAAACGGAGTAAGTTATCGATTATCGGAAACAAACTCGATCTGCGGAGGCACTAGGAGCACCTACATCTAAGATTTCTCTCTAGCTCTTATAGGTTCTGAGATCCTTGCGTTCATACATACGAACGGACGGACATGGCTAGATTGACTCGGCTATTGATGCTGATCAAAAATATATATATATACTTGATGGGGTCGGAAATGCTTCCTTCTGCCTGTTACATACATTTGGATTTTGCACAAATACAATATACCCTTATACCCATATTTAATGGGTTCAGGGTATAAAACGCGTAACCAGCCTGTCACCCTTCCAGTCCCTTCAATACAGGGACTGCCCCAAAAAACTAGCTTCATCTTCTGACCAAATTTTTATTCATTATCGTAATGTTAGAGGTCTCATTTCAAAGCTTTAAAATCTTTTCATGGCCAGCACTTCCTTCGATTCGGATATTAGAGCATTTTTAGAAATATGGTTCAACCATATCTGACTTTGAGGTTTTTTCGAATAACTTTATTTTGAATAGAAATGATCGGCCGACTCGAGGTGGTGGGGTGTTAATTGCCGTTAAAGCCACTCTCCAGTAAGAACTTTTCTGTTTTAGTACGCCTACTGACGCTGAGATTTTCTCAGTTAAGGTGTCTTTTCCTATACGGAATATCTATATAACATGCTCTTAAGTCCCTCCTTCTTTTGATATTCAAGTTTATATGAAACATAATACTTGTATTACAAGAAGTTTCTCCACACGTGCTTGATAATGACCTATTTATGGTGTTGGGTGATTTTAATTTGCCGAACAGCTCTTGGTCATTATTCACGGCATGCTTGATCTATTGTTGTTTAACATCAATTCAATTTCTAATCATTTCAATAGAACACTTGACTTAGTATTTGTTAACAACTATTTCTAATGTGTCTAGGTCCCCCCCTTTATCTCTTCCTGAGGATGTCCACCATCCTACTTTGAGATTGCAATGCTCAATTGTAATCCTTTCATTTCGTGCTCATCAGCCAATAAGCCCCGCCGTTACTTTTGCAAGGAAATTTTTTTTTTGCAGAATCAGCTTATTGATGCAACCGATTTGTCTTTTTTATATGACTCGGTGGATATGAATACTGCCATTAATTTTTTTTCCCAAGTCAATTCCTTCGACTACTTTTTCATAACCACCCTGGTTTACTCCTAGATTATCACATTTTATAAATGTAAAATCCAAATATTTTAAAAAGTCTAGTTCGTGTACAGAATTGGCTAAATATTCCATAGCCAAGTCAAACTTCATTCTTCTAAATTCTCAATGCTATGAGGATTATCTAACTCGCTGTAAAAGGCAATTTGCCCAAATCCGAGACAGTTTTATAACTTTGTAAGCTTGAAACTTGTTTGCCATCTTCTTTTTCTTTCGGGATTGATACAGCTTGCCATGACTCTGATTCTGCTAACCTCTTTGCTAATTTTTTCCAATTAACTTACTCTTCAGTCTGTCCTAATACTTATTCTTACCCTTATACTATTTCTTCCTCTAGTTTTATACCTCCTCCCATTATTTCACACACCTCTTTTCTTATGGCTATAAACTCTTCAAAATCTTCTTACTCTCCTGGCCCGGACAATATTTCTAGTTGTCTACTCAAGGAGTGTAATTCTTCCCTTCTTTATCCATTGCTAAAGCTTTTTAATCTATCCCTTGAAACTTTTGTCTTTCCATCCCTTTGGAAAGAATCTTATATCATTCCTCTTCACTAGAAAGGTGATATACAAAATTACGGGGGCATTGGAAAACTATTCCTAAACATGCTATGCCACTTTGGTGTTCGGCCAATCAATTGCATCTAAATTGTTCAAAGTGTATGTTTATGACATTTAATCGTACTACACCTTATCTTGTCAGTTATACAATCGACAATATCGCTTTGCAACGTGTACTAACAGTTAAGGATCCAGGCGTTATTATATTATTATATTATTATATACCCTCGTTAATGGGGCAAAATGTGTAAATGGATTCATTAAACGATGGTCCAAAGAGTTTAGCGATCCTTTTATATCAAAACTTCTGTACATCTCTCTTGTTCGCCCTATCCTTGAATACTGCTCTTGCATCTGGTCTCCGCAGTATAAGAAAAGTCAGGATCGAATTGAAGCAATTGCTGCTTTTTGCCTTACGAGGTTTAAATTGGGAACTTAATCGTCGGTTGCGATCCTACTCCAGCAGACTGCTTCTTCTCAACCTTCCGTCGTTAACCAACCGTAGGACAATTCTCGGTGTTGTCCTTCTACATATGTAAGTTGATTATTGGCGACATAGATTCTCCTTTTCTGCTAGGGCGGCTTCAATTCTCTGTTCCGGCTAGACCAACCAGAAATTATCGCCCCTTATTCCTATATACGTTCACAACAGACTACGCTATGCACAATCCTTTTCGCGTGCTATGTAAAAACTATAATAGTTTGCATCACGTTTTCTCTACCGAACTTTCTCTACCCCTAATAAAATCGTTGCTTTCAGGATACCTTCGGAAAGTCGCTGACCATTCCCAGCTATGAGCAGGGGCATAGCTTGCCGGACAGGCTGAAAAAATTTTCCCCCACCGGATCGGTGATTTCCCATTACTTCTCTCTTTGTCCTATCTACTTAACACTCATTATTTAACTTACATTGCTTTACTTTATTCTTCTTACTTTCTTTTTTCCTATTTATTGTACTTTCTTTATTAAAAATTGAGATTATTTTTAATTTTATTTAAGAACACTTTTTTCCTACTTACAATCTTCTGCTTTTATGTAGGCTCTAATAGCGTCACTGACAAAATTAGCTGTGAAATAAAACACCTCCATCGGTCGGTGATGCTATTTACAAAATTGTATTCTTTAACTAGGCTTTTAGAGTATAATTCTATTATCTTTTATATTATTTATTGAATAATGAGGAAGACACTCGTTTTGTCGACCATTCATAAAAATAAAATTAAAAAAAAAAAGGACACGGGGCTGAGACAGTTTAGATAACTGAGAGCACTACAGGGGATGAAACAGGGGTAATTGGACAGTCGCTCGGAGAAGATGATGACAACATTGGAGATAAATACAGGTTGCTAGGCAGGGAAAAAAGAGGCGTATTTGTCCGAACAGACGTATAGAGCAACTGCAGCCCTTCTTGGCAATTGCAGCGATCTAGACGCAATCACGCCCAGTGGGACAAGGTTTCTTACAGCATGCCATAATTATTACAAGCGTAGGAAAGTTGAGAGAGCGCAGAGCAAAACGAAAACGGTGCGCTAAAATAGAGCCAGTAAAATTTAAAAAAACAATTATTCGTACACAAAAAAATTGTTTGGAGCGAAAATCAATAGCGAAAATTTGCGAGAGTGCGATGCCCAAGTAGAAATATGCAGCAGCGAATACACAAACAGACAAGTTATGCACAGGGGACCACCAAAGAAAAACAATCAAAACCGCCAATAACAATAGCACGGAACTGACGCCGCGTTAATTTAGTGCAATAATTTACAGACTTTCGCTGCACAACAGATAACACTTTGCACAATTTATAAAAGCTTTTTAAATAAAGCACCAAATATACAAAATTTAGAAATAAGAAGCAGGATTAAAGCGAAAAAATATTTAAAAATCTTGGAGCATAAGTAAAACTCGTCAATCACTGTCAACTGAAAACTTGCTCTTTTCGACCCCTACCTTCTTTAAGGAAGAGCAGATATACAACAATATAACTTATTGCGCAAAGGCATTATAGGATCTTCATCCGTATTGGTGGTTTTTAAAAAAACGATGCTCCAAAATAAATATCGGTTAGTTATCGACAATAAAACACTTAATGCTGTAACAATTGTTGCATTTGACGTTATCGGCAGCACCGAGGGTTACTCAGTTGGTTGCGTGCGATATTATCGGCCACGCCGATATCTTTTTGGCATATGGTCGGAGTATGCGGGGTGAAGCTGGGCCCACGGCGGAGCCCAAAATTTTGAAGGGTGGCAACGCCAGACATGCGATCCACGGCGCCAAAAGCGACGATTGCTATTGGCCGCCCGTTTCGCTCTTAAAGGGAATACGAGGAGAGTGGATCGCATGCCCTTGGATATGCCCTTGGCCTTCATTTGGGCCGTTGACCCAAAAAAAATGCAGCTGTGCAGATGAGCAGCAACGGTGCCCGCCTCGCAAATGTATGCGTGTGCCGAAATTCGGTACCGATGGTGTGGCTGCCAAAAATGTCGAGGAGTTCGATTTGTTCAGCGGTTAACGGCGGGCGTGCCAGCTCGAAGTGAGCAAAAAAAGTTGGACATTGCATTTCTGCTTGACAGAGTAAAATTTTTTCCCTTCTGAAAAATTAAGCCGGCACATAATACCAATGGCTTAACAGACGAATAAAAGTTTTGTTTTTGTGTTCTTTGCCATGTAATAAATTTATATAAATCAAACCGCTCGAATCACAAAGAAAATATAATAAAAAAATTAAAAGAGACTTAAAAATTTAAGTGCGACGAGAGACGAACCAAATAAGCCAAAAATTAACGGCTCCGGCACCAAGGAGACCAGCTCGCGCACCAGAGAGGCCCACGAAATATTCAAGGCCAGGATTCAGTGCAGCGGCGCAAACCAGCCATATCCGCGACGCCGCCAGCAAGCGTCGGCGCAAACGTGAAGGCGACGAGACGAGCCACCAACGACCGGGCTCCAACAACGAAGAAGCGGCCACAGGCGAGACCCCGCCCACATCCACCGAGTGAGTCCGTTCCATTGTTTTGCCCACCCTCGTTCGAGCCCCTGGCAGAGTCAGATGAAGACTCCTAATTGCACTCCCTGAAAAGGAGTAGATTTTTTTTTATCGTTAAATTTGGTTAATTTGTATTTATAAAATATATTCATACATACATAGGCACTTACGCCGAGCTTCACTTTAGAGTGCGAACGGTGAGGAAAACTCCAACGGTGATGCATCTGCGCCTGTAAAATATAAAAAAAAAATCTAAAATTAACTCTTGCGCGAACTATGCCCACATACTTACCTAATTTGAATTTACGCATTTATATCGCCCCTTACCACCCCCAGAGAGCTCTTTAGGTAGGGTAAGGTAGAATTAAGCGATTTAATACATACAATACACAATACGTGACATACCCAGTTTTAAGTAATTGTGCGGGCCATTGTTCCTAAATCGGGGCAACGATTGCCTCTAAAGTGCCTCATTGCGCGTTTCTTTTGCGGCGACTAGCAATATCCCTGTAGTGTTTCGTCGCCTGTTCCATTCAGTGTTGTAAAAAAATAAAAAAGATTAATTCTATAAGATAAGAGAAAAATTTAGGAATTAATGTGCTGTGTCAATTAGTATAAATATATGCAGCAGTAATACGCACCTGTGAAGTTAATGAATTATCCGCTTGCATGAGATCCTAAACAGCTGCAAGATAAATGCCATAAGCAATGATTATGATTGTTATACATTTTAAGAAAACGCAACCAATTATACGCACCTATTGAAAGAAATCATGTCCGGCTAAAATAATATTGCTGGGGGAGAGTGGGCATTATGGCCGACACGGGCTAATATAGGCCATCTAGTGGCCAAAATGTGGGAGACGAGTGGAGGTGATCGTCTCATGGTAGGGCGGGTACGCTGGGTCCGGAACCGGGGCCCGATCTGGAAGAGTAAGGTGGATAAATAGTGTTTTTTTGTTAATTTATATTGAGTGTCTTACCTTTGTTGTTTACATTTTCATAGTTACAGCTGTGTATTTTGTTCATGAGTTAGTAGTTCCGAATATTTGTTATCGATTATGCGGTTCATTTTGAGTAGTGTTGTGTGAGTCTGTTTTGCTACAGACGTGTAGCTTTGTTGTTATCGATTGTGCGGACTGCGGGCCAGGGATGGGACCACACCCAGAGAATCCGATGAGCCAGCCGGCGCGGCCCACTGAGAAACAAGCAGTTCCGTAACAATATGGCGCCCAAATTGAAGAAGCACTCGGCTTCTTTGAAGTCGGTGTGTAATCAAAGAAAAATAAATACGATAAAAATGAAGGTACAGAGGAAAGGACTCCCTTGGCTTCAGGACCCACACCGCTGAAGTCTTATGTGGCACGAGTAGGTAGCTCATAATCGCGCAGCGTGTAGTGGAATCCGAGAAGCACGACGGAAGTAGAGGTTATCTGAATATCCATCCATAAGCATGAGGGGTTTTTTTTTGTAGTGGTTGATGGCCGTTCGCATGTTGGCGAAACATTTGCGACTATCCATCGTTCGCCTGGTGGTAGCCGCAACGACAAAGGCATCTCATGGTAAAAAAAATGTGATATTAGGGTAGTTTAGTCAGATGTTATTTATTCAATTAGTTGTTTTTGTCTCATTTTGTGTCAATGTTGGATGTATGCTGGCCGTAGTTATACGAGCTTCGGAGACCGGTGACCCAGGACGATATAGAGCCGAGCCTGCGCCGCATCTGTCACACAGCATATCCCAAGAATGGCCAGAAGAGCGACGGAGACGGATCTTGCCATGGTGTCCATTGACATGGGGTGTTTTCTTGTCGCGGTTGATGACGGTAAGTCACGTTTGCTAGTTGGTGAACGTTCGCGACCGTCAATCGTAGCCTGGTGGTAGCCGCCATGACAAAATAACCTGTGACGAAATGTGATATTAGGGTAGGTCTGACTAGAGTTTGTTTAATGTTTTCTATTTGTTTTGTCCCACTCTGTGTTAACGTTTGGTGTGTGCTGGCCGTAGTTAAATGAGCTTCGGAGGCAGGTGACCCAGGACGATATAGAGCCGATCCTGCGCCGCACCTGTCACACAGCATACTCTAAGGGTGCACAGAAGTGCGACAGAAACCAAATAGCCTTCAAGGTAGCGTTCCTTGCATGCCGTCCGTCAGTCAAACTGACGAACTGAGCATGGGACGAATGCTTAAGTGTTGTCCACTGTCCAGATTATGCGTAGATTATTTAGCCTGTGTTAGGATTTGTCTTCTCTCCCCCAAGTATTTGAAATTAATTAGAAAAAAAAAAAAATTTAATTTTGTGAGTGTTTTTGTGGTCGATGTGTATTAATTTATTATTCTTTATTAGTAAGATTTGTTAGTGGGTGTTTATTTATTTATTAATTTATTAGAAATATTAGTAAAGTTTTTATAAGGGTTGTAAGCCTTGTAGAAGAGAGGGGTACTGTTCTCAGAAGGGATAAGTATGGCTGAGGAACAGGTGTCTGATTGGGCTTCTGACGCTGATGGGGCGTCGGCTCTGCCACCGCCGCGCCCAGCTGGAGGGCTGGTGCGAACGCCAATGAATTTCCGGGGATTTCCAGAGAGACAGATCCCGAAAGAGGGTCACCTGGTAGACTTGGAGAAAGAATTGGCGCAACAGGATAGACCTCCACGGAACCTGGAGTTCCCAAAAGCCCCGAAAGACTCAGTGCTCAAATCGGCGGCAAACGCGGCGATCGCTCAGGCCCACCAAACATATCTGCATGCTCTGCCATCTGGCATCAGCGAGTCCATCCGCGAGGAGATGCGAGCTGGCTTCATGGAAATGATGAAGGGCATCATTGATGTGCTTAGGCCGCCAGGGAGCCAAACCGCCGAGACTAACACTGCGCCGAAGCCGCCAAGACATGTCGAGCCGGGACCGCGAACAGGCGCCATCCCGAAAGAACGGGAAGTGTTCCAGCGCGAGGCATTTCCACCACCGGTGCCACCGAAGCCACGTAGGCAAGGCGCACGAGGGGCGGAGTATTCGTCCAGCAGCCCAGTTTACGTGGCAGATGCTCAGTCGAGGAACTGGCGTAACCCGAATAACCGCCATTTCCGAGTAGAGGACCGGAGAGCGGATGATTTTCAACCGGAGGAGGCGTACGCCAACGTGCGAGAAACTGCGTACATGAAGCTCGAGCGGTGGAACGTCAAGTTTGACGGCGAGGACGCGATGAATTCGGTCGAGGACTTCGTGTTCCGCCTAGAGTTCCTGCAGAGGCAGTATCAGTGCCCGTGGAAGGAGGTCCTGCGCGGTTTCCACCTGCTCCTGACCGGCCGCGCCCGCGAGTGGTACTGGATGCACGTGCGGCATTCTAGGGTCGACAGCTGGATGCAACTGCGGCATGCCCTCTTGGACAGGTTCCGGGGCTACCAGACGGAACACGAGGTAATGCAGGAGCTTCTACAACGAGAGCAACAGGCCAGCGAAGGGGTGGATGATTATATCCACCACATGCGTCAACTCGCCGCGCGATTCCAGAAGCCGCTGAGAGACCGAGAGCTGGTGAGGATTATAAAGCGTGGTTTAAAAGAAAGTCTGGCGAAATATATTTATGCCATGGACGTACTCACCGTGGATGAGCTGCGCCAAGAGTGCCTAGAAGTGGAGAGGCACATGGGTCGCAGAAGCCGGACTGGGTACCTTCAGCCGTCGCGTTGTCCACAAGGAACGAGGCCCGTAGTCCACGAGGTTGAAGTTCCACCGCATCTTACAGAAACGCCACCGGGAGAACTGGAGGAGGCATTCGTGCGAAGCAGGAACTCATCCCGAATTGTATGCTGGAACTGCAGACAGTTCGACCACGTCTTTAGAGACTGCCTGTCCAAGGAGCGGAAAATATTCTGCTATAGGTGTGGAAAGCCGGACACTTTCTGCTCGCAGTGTGAAAACTGTCCGGGAAACCCCAGAGGGAGCGCGGTGATGGCGGGACAGACGCGTTCCGGGACGGCGACCGCGGGAAAGCAGGAGGGGGGCACCTACCAGAGCCAATAATCATTGGAAAGGAGACGGAGATTTGGAATAAGGATCAGGATAAGGCTAATTATAATAATAGTATAAGCAAAGGAGGAACACTTAGGGGCTTACCATACGAAGAACGTGTTCGGGCATACATGTCGGCCCGAAATAGAATTTTTGGTGAGCGACAGCTGGAGGGGATGACGCTAGCCACCCGGAGAATGGTGAAGGCACGTGCGCGCTTCCGCAGACGCAGGATTACCAGGCGCCAGGTCGTCGAAGCGGTGAGACGGGAGGAGAGTATAGACCCACGAGTATTCGCCGAAGTGGAGGTCGCTGGAGCCAAAATGAAAGGGTTGCTGGACACGGGGGCCTCAGTCAGTCTGTTGGGACAAGGATGCCGGGAGTTAGTGGAGAAACTGGGATGGGAAGCGCGGCCATACGAATCGATGGTGAGGACAGCGGCGGGTGCCAATCGCCCAATTTTAGGTCGCGTTGTTCTGCCTGTGAAATACGGGAATAGAACGGAAGATATCGTATTTTACATGTGCCCGGACCTGCGACAGGAACTATACCTGGGAATCGACTTCTGGCGAGCCTTTGAGATCGCACCAGAGCTGCTCGGTCCGGCCAGAAAGTCCGAAACACCACCAGAGGCATCTGAGGTAACGGTAGCGAACCCAGAGGTGGCTTATTACCGGGACGACGACGACTGCGTAACGGATCCGGAAATGTGGGACCTGGACAACGATCAGAGGAGTCAGTTGGAAAGCGTGAAGCGCAGATTTCTCCAATTTGAGAAGGATGGCCTAGGGAAAACTCACCTGCTGCAGCACCGAATTCAGCTGATCGAGGGAGCAGAACCCGTGAAAGACAGACATTATCCGCTGTCCCCGGCCAAACAGGAGATCGTGTGGGCCGAGGTGGATAAGATGCTAAAGTTAGGCATCATCGAGGAGAGTGACAGCCCCTGGAGCAACCGGACGACGGTGGTGATGAGGCCTGGGAAGAACAGGTTTTGCTTAGACGCCAGGAAATTAAACAGTGTAACGGTAAAAGACGCGTACCCGCTTCCATGCATCGAGGGCATCCTATCGCGAATCGACGAGACTCATTTTATCTCTAGCGTCGACCTTAAGTTCGCGTTCTGGCAAATAGAGATGGAGGAGAAGAGCAGGGCGTATACGGCGTTTACTGTACCAGGGAGGCCGCTGTACCAGTTCCGCCACATGCCATTCGGGCTCTGCAACGCCGCTCAACAGCTTTGCAGGCTCATGGACAAGGTAATCCCGGCGAATCTGAGGTCCAACGTATTCGTATACCTGGACGACTTGCTGATAATATCGGCAGATTTTCCAACGCACTTAAAATACTTGGAATTGGTGGCCGAGTGTCTGAGGAACGCGAACCTCACCATAGGCATGGCGAAGTCGAAATTCTGCTTCCGCAACCTAAACTACCTGGGTTTCATCATAGGCGGCGGGACGCTGCGCATGGATCCGGGAAGGGTAGAAGCGATCCGGAACATCCCGAATCCGAGGACGGTCAAGGAACTACGAAGCTTCTTAGGTACGGCGGGGTGGTACCGCCGATTCATAAAGAATTTCGCTGAGATATCGGTACCGTTGACTGATGCCCTTAAGAAGAGAACGGGTAGATTTGTGTTGAGCGACGAGGCCATAGAAGCCATAGAGAGCTTAAAGTTAGCCCTCACCACAGCCCCGGTGTTAGTTCACGCAGATTTTCGAAGACCATTCTTCATCCAATGCGACGCATCTCACTACGGAGTAGGAGCCGTGTTGTTCCAGCTAGACGACGAACAACAGGAAAGGCCGATCGCATTCTTCTCGGCCAAACTCAACAAGCACCAGATCAACTATTCGGTGACCGAGAAGGAATGCCTAGCCGCCAAACTGGCCATACATCGATTCCGGCCGTACGTGGAGATGATGCCGTTCACGGTAATCACCGATCATGCGAGTCTGCAGTGGCTTATGAGTCTCAAAGACTTGAGCGGGAGATTAGCCAGGTGGTCCCTCGAACTGCAAGCGTT